TCCTAAGAGTCCCCTGTTCTCCCGGTACCCTTTACCACCATCTGTGTCCTTCCAGCAATCTTCAAAGGCATCAAAAATAAGGGGCCCTGATAAGCTCTGAGATAAATTGCTTTCTGACTATCAGAGATTAAAAGAAAAAAAATGAAATAACAGAGGCTCAGGGGAGATCACTGTAAATTCCTTCACAGCCCTCTGAATGCCTCCATCAACTCTGATGATGAGGGCCCTGCAAGGCGGTCGGGGGTGGTGGGGGCCGCCTGCAGGATGCCCGCCAGGCCCGGGCGTCTTTCCCGAGATCAAGGGCAGAGGACGACAATGCCAGGAGTGCACTAAGAAGCCTTGATCCCATGATTTGGCCAGGGGTGGGGGTCTGTGGCGTTGGCTGGACGAGAAGCTCAGGACAGTTTGTCGAGAGCTACCCTGACCCCATGGACACGTAAACGTGGCAGGCATTGCTTGGTATCCATACGCTTGGTGGGCAGTGCATCCAGACTATTGGCTTGTTCAGAGGGACTGTGCTTATTCTGTTTTAGTTTTTTAATATAAAGTCCCCTATTTCTAAGTGTACTCTGGAGAACACTGGCCTCAGGAAAGGTTCTAAGACCCCAGCAATAAGCAGTACACAAAGGAGTTTGGGGGATGATCATTTAGGTCCCTCTTGGAGACTCCCAGGATGCATTAGGTCATGAGATGGTCCACTGCCTCGGGCTGAATTGCATGATGACAACAGTAAAGCCACAGTGGCAAAGTCTTCCCGGTTTATTGAGCATGCACTGTAGGCCAGGCTCTGTTCTAAGCACTATGTGTTTTTTATCTCCTTTATTCTTCTTGTGACCCTATGAAGAAGGCACAGTTTTTATTGTCCTTTTATAGATGATGAAACCTACACCCTGAGAGCTTATATCACTTGCCCACAGTTCCCCAGCTAATAAGTGGTGAACCAAGATTTGAACCCTGAACCTGTACTGCTAGTCATGATCTCACGAAAACAAGAGCTCTGGAGTCCAGCTCTGCTCTCTGGTGGCGTGACCTTGGGCAAGTTCCTAAATGCCTTACAGCAGCAGTCCCCAACCTTTTTGGTACCAGGGACCAGTTTCATGGAAGATGTGTGGACTAAAATAAGTGTCGGATTCTGAATTAAAGCCTACCACCAGATGCAGCCTAATTGTCACTTACCATTCACTGACAGGGTTTTGATATGATCTGCAAGCAATTGATTTATTATGGTCTCTGTGCAGTCAAACCTCTCTGCTCATGATAATCTGTGTTTGCAGCCACTCCCCAGCACTAGCATCACTGCCTCAGCTCCACCTCAGATCATCAGGCATTAGATTCTCATAAGGAGCACGCACCCTAGATCCCTCGCATGTGCAGTTTACAGTAGGGTTCATGCTCCTATGAGAATCTAATTCCGCCGCTGATATGACAGGAGGTGGAGCTCAGGCTATTGATGCACGTGATGGGGAGTGGCTGTAAATACAGATGAAGCTTCAGTCCCTCATCCGCTGCTCACCTTCTGCTGTGCAGCCCTGTCCTTAACAGGCCACAGACCTATACCAATCTGTGGCTTGGGGTTGGGGACCACAGCCTTACGGGATGTGGTATGTAAAACATCTCACATCCAGTACATTCTTAAGAAGTGGTAGCTATTGTGATTGGCATTATTCAGAGGTAAGAGTAGATTGGCTGGTGGAGGGGGTGCTGTAAGGATTGTGTTCATTTATGTAAGGCATGGAAAGCACTTGGTGTCATGCTGAGCTCACAGTAGATGACCATAGATGGTGGGAATTAGTTCTGCTGTAAATCCAGGTGAGCATGGGCTGCATTAACATTCTGAAAAACATACACAGCTCGAAACATTTCCTTGCAGTAAAACTCCTGCATATTTTGGTTTTGTTTTTTGTTCATCTGGATACATAGAGTCCTTCCCCCCAGATTTTGGCTCTTGTAAGATGTGGGCTTGAGAAGTTAGGTAATAAAATACCACACATTGGGTGGCTTAAACAGATATTTATTTTCTCATAGCTCTGGAGAGTAAAAGTCCTAGATCAAGGTGCCAGCAGGGTGCTCCCTTCTGAGGGCTGTGTGGGAGAATCTGTTCCATGCCTCTCCTGGCTTCTGGTGGTTTGCTGCAATCTTTGCTGTTCTTTGGCTCATAGATGCTTCACTGTGATCTCTGCCTTCATCTTCACATGGCATTCTCCCTGTGTGTGTGTGTCTGTGTCCAAATGTCCCCTTTTTATAGGGATACCAGTCATACTGGATTAGGGTCCACCCTAGTGACCTCATTTTAACTGGATTATTTCTATAAAGACTCTATTTCCACATAAGGTCACATTCTGAGGAATTGGAGGTTAGGACTCCAACATGAGATTTTTTGGGGGGACACAATTCAACCCATAGCACTCACCCTGTGGGGAAAATTGTGATGTGAAGTAGCATCCAGGCAATCTCTGAGAGAAAAGGGAGATGAGCAAAAGCCTTGGCTTGATAATTCACAAACACTTCTCCCCAACTAAGGATGTAAGGCCATGGCCACCCAGGTTGTCAAGCTAGTAGCAGTGCAGAATGAACTCCCTACCTACAGCCTTGGTGGGACATGGGGCTTGGAGTGGTGGGAGGTCCTGGGTGGGCATCTGTACACTCCAGTTCCAGCACTGGGTTTTCCTCGTGGACATCGAGTTCACTACCCTGGGCCTCGGGTTCTCAATCTGTAATATGAGCATGAACAATGCCTGTCTTTCTTGAGTGGTTGTGAATCTTAATAGAATAACTTACATGAAGCCCCATGCAATTCATTGAGTGCTGGAGGATATAATGTGCTGTTGGGTCCTGGAGCAGCACTGGTCTGTGTGGTAGACCCGCAGCCTCGAGGTGGGGCCCTTTACCACCTTCACAGGACTCTCCACCCCTCCCTCCTGGCATGGAGCAGGTACCTTTCCTCTACTCTGGAGCTCCCAGGCAGTGCGGGGCCAGGTAGAGGCTATATGTGATAGGCTTGGAAGGAATGCCCTGTGTCTAGCTTTGTTCAGGCTGGTGCTGATGATGGTGGTGATGATGATGGTGGTGTGATGGTGGTGGTGGTGGTGGTGGTGATGGTGATGGTGATGATGGTGATGGTGGTGATGGTGGTGGTGGTGGTGGTGGTGGTGATGCTGGTGGTGGTGGTGGTGGTGGTGGTGGTGGTTGCTGGTGATGATGGTGATGGTGGTGGTTATTTTTCCACAGAGCCCAGATTTAAATGACATAGTTGATTGATTATGTTCTCTTTCTATTAAGGACAAAAGGAGTTATTCTTGTCCTGTCTGTGAAAAGTCTTTTTCAGAAGATCGATTGATAAAGTCACATATCAAGACCAACCATCCTGGTAAGGTTATGCATTTTAAAATAGAAGATAATGTTAAAATGGTTATGTTTTTTCGAAAATACAGCCTTATACATTAACTGCACATTATAGAAATAAAGAGGGATGCAGATATGAATAAATTCAAGGGAAACAGTCATCTTTATTTAAAGCTTAGAAGTTTACATAATTTTTTATTTCATTTTGTCCTTTTTTCTGGGTTTTCAGATACATCTTCCCCCACCCCCTGCAGGCTTAGTGATCCCCACTCCCCTCCCCCTTTTATGGGAACTTTGAATGCTTGTAGATGGGTCACATACGGCACAAGTCTGACTTAAATTCTCACCTTATGCCCTTTGTAGATCTATGTTTCCCAGAGTGGTGGTTTATAAGGGTTGTTGGCTGAGGATCCTTTGTGTGTTGGAGTGACTGTCACTGTGGGTCTTCCCATGTTCTATGCCTCTTAGGTGCATGAGGCACCAGCTCCCTGGGCATCCAGCCTCTCCACTTCTGTTCTTGCCACCGTGGACATTTCCCCTTCTGTTCTGCCTGGTTGATTCCTGTTTGTTCTGTGTGCTCTCCCTCAGAGTCTGTCTTGGGTTGGGGGGCTGTTGTGGCTCCCAGCCCTCCTGACATCATGGTGACTGACCATGTGCTCCAGTCTCTGTGCCTCTCTCGGCCGCCCTCATGGGCTCCCCAAGGCAGGGCTTATCCCTCGACCTACAGTGTCACCTCACTCAGGACCAAGAGGGCAGACACTTTGGGAAGATACCTAGTAGTGGGATTTCTGGATTGGATGGTAGTTCTATATTTAGTTCTTTGAGAAATTGCCATACTGTTTTCTATAGAGGTTGTACTAATTTATATTCCAACCAGCAGTGTATAAGTGTTGCCTTTTCTCCACATCCTTGCCATAACTTTTTAATAATAGCTATTCTGATTGGGTTAAGATGATATCTCATTTGGTTTCAATTTGTATTTCTCAGATGATTAGTGATATTGAACATTTTTTTCATATACTTCTTGGCCATTTGTATGTCTTCTTTTGAAAAATGTCTGTCTCCTTTTTTTTGTTTTTTGGTTGTTGTTGAGTTGTTGAGTTCCTGGTATATCCTGGGTATTAGTTTCCTGTGAAATGAATAGTTTGCAAATATTTTCTTCCATTCTACAGGTTGTCTTTTCACCCTGTTGATTATTTCTTTTTCTGTGCAGAAGCTTTTTAGTTTAAGTCCCATCTGTCTATTTTTGTTTTTGATGCCTGTGCTCTTGAGGTCTTAATCACAGTTGGTTTATCTGAACCATGATCCACGCATTTGAATTTACTGGCTATGTCCCTTCCAGTTCCTGTGTTCTCTAGGACTCCCCTCCTGCTTTTATCCCATGACATCCATTTGTGGGAGAAACTGAGTCGCTTTTCCTGTGGACAGTTTCGCCTTCTGCATTTGTCTGATTATTGCCTTAGGATGTTGTTTCTCCATTCTTCATATTTTACGTTAACAGGTATTTAGATCTAAAACTTGATTTTAACTTTTTGGGCAAAAATCCTATCTCCAGCCACCCTGAAGCACACCTTGATTCACCCCCTTGGTGATGCTTGGTGGCGACCTGCACCGAGGTTTTTTGTTTCCTTCTGATTGTTATCTGCTTTTCTTCTAGAGGTCTCCATGAGCACCATTTCTGAGGTTCTGGGGAGGAGGGTTCAGCTGAAAGGGCTGATTGGAAAGAGAGCCATGAAGTGCCCGTATTGTGATTTCTATTTCATGAAGAATGGCTCAGACCTCCAGCGTCATATTTGGGCTCATGAAGGTGAGTATCCATCTTTCCAAATGGAGCACTCTCTTACCTTTATGCTTCTCTGCTTCATTTTGGAAATATTAATACATTAGGAGGACGCCAGACAGACCTTCATGTCCCTGCAGTTAGAATTTCTTTAGTACAATGAGAAGTATGTCCATCAGCCAGCTAAGGTCAGTGATTGAAATCATTACTTAATTAGTTTCAATTGCAATGAGTAGAGGTAGGTGCTACTTCATAGGTCACATTGCAATTGTAGCAAAAAAAATCACGACTCCCCTGCTAGAAAGCAAGTGTCACGAGAACAGGAAAATCAGTGTTGTATTCATGGCAGCAATTTGGGTGCTCACCGTGGTGTTCTAGGCTGAGCAGGTGTTCCAGAAGTGGCTGTATGAATGAGTAAAGGTGAGGAGGGCAGCAAGGACTCCTCTAAATCTGGCAGTGTGGAGTATTATTGTTCATGTCATAGGAAAGCAATTCAGAAGGTGGAAGGGTTGAGTGGAGAGAAAGAATGTAGGCTATGCTTTTGGGGTGCTTGTCTGTGCAGAGAAAGTGTGGGAGAGCCACTCTGACGGACTTTGGGAAGTTGGAAGTCAAGGTTTTCTTAGACAGTGTGCCGCCAACTTTGCTTTCTCCCCCGGGAAAGGATATGGCCCTCCTAGGAATGAGGGTGGGAGCCAAGCGGCTAGGAAAAGCCCTTTCAGGCATCTGCATCAGGGCCCTGCCTGCTAGTCAGGAACCAGCAATGCTGTAGGGAGGAAATAAGACTGGATGGGATAGAGGGTGAAGCATTTTCTGCAACATGGGATACAAATGACCTCTTTAAAGACCCCAGGGAAGAAACTATTAGGAAGAGAGAGACTGTAATTGTTCAGTAAAGAGAATAGTAACTGCTAGAATGGGAACCTGGAAAAGGCAGAAGGAGTTGAGATCAAATGCTGAGGTTGGAAGATACTTTTATGTTTACCAGCATTTATTGAACACTTACTAGATGCCAGGCAGTGTGCACAGTGCTTTACCCACGTTGTCTGATTTAGTACTCTCAACAGCCGTAGAGGTAGGTGCTGTTATCCCCATTTTGCCAGTGAGGAAAATGAGGCTCAGAGAGATTAAGTAATTTGCCCAAGGTCTGCGTTTTTGAGTTCTTTTAATACTTTGGAAGAATACCTGGTCCAATGGTACCTGACTATATTTCAACCATTCACGCATTTGTAATGTATATACAGATGGCATTGCTGGGCTATGTTCCCCTTAGTGGGGTTTGTGAGGGCATCTCCTCTGCAGTGGTGGTAGTCCTGAGCCATCTACAGCTTTGCTCAGGGTAGCACGTGATACAGAAAGATGCTGATAGGCCCAAGCCAGCACCACAGCTGCAGCCTTGCTCTCATAAGAGAGTGTTATAAATGACCAGCCCAGGACAGGAGATATGGTGTCCAGAATGTTCCTTGGAAGGCGACTGCTGGTCCCATCATTTCACAGAGCCAGGAACCACGATCCAGACGCTACTTTAAGGGCACACAGCTTACTGGTGCTCATGGTCAGGTTGTCACTTCACTGTCCCAAAACACAGCTCCATGCTGGGCTTCACCCGGGCCATAAAACACACCAGGCCTGTGTGCATCTCAGCTCTGTGCCCCTGGGCATAACCCTCAGTCTCTTTGAAGCCTCAGTTTCCTTGACCGCAAAGTCATAGGTAGTATAAATAATGGGCGAAAATGTTTGGCTTGCTAAAAATTGTCTGTGTTCAGGTTCAAGAATCTCCCCTCCTCCACCCCCCCACCTCTATAGCATGTCACGCTGTGCTGTAATGACCTCTTTACTTACGTCCATCTCCCACTGCACTGGGAAAGCAGGGACCAACTCTTCTCAGTTTCAAGATCAACTGGCAGTACTCAATGTGAAAGTAGGTCCTCAGTATGTACTACTTGAACAAAGGGGGCATTGAACGCCAAGACGCCCCTATAGTCTGAGCCATCAGCCCACCAACAAGCTGTTTTGTGGAGTAAAAAAATGTGCTTCCACATCTGAACCTGGGTGCCTGATCCCACTGGTTCTTGTAAAGGCCCTTAGTGCCTTTAATTTGTTCAGTTTAACTCAGTTGAGTTAAACTTAATGACTGTCTGCTCTGCACAATTCTCAGGGTCTCTGTTCTCAAGGCATTCCCAGATTGTGGGGAAAGGCAGAAGTGAACAACTCACTGTGAGGTGCAGTGAACATTCCAACTAGTAAAGAGTTATAGGAATCGGGAACATTGATAGGGAGGGAAGTCTACTGGGGAAGGTCAGAGAAAGCTGCAGGCTGGAGGCCCCTGGCAGACCCCGTAGGAAGGAACAGCTTGAGGGGGAGCCTGGGGTGGGGAAGTGTGTGGCTATTAGGACCAGCAAATGCACTGCTTTATTCAAAACGGGTATTTTTATATATGTATATACATATATATATATATATATATACACACACACACATATATATACATATATATATATATTTTTTTTTTTGTATTCCTTTGGATTCACACACACATGTAAACCTATACATGCATAGATACATACATTTTTTTCCCCTGGCAGGTGTGAAACCCTTCAAGTGTTCTTTGTGTGAGTATGCCACTCGTAGCAAGAGTAACCTCAAGGCTCACATGAATCGTCACAGCACTGAGAAAACCCACCTATGTGACATGTGTGGCAAGAAATTCAAATCAAAAGGGACATTGAAAAGTCACAAGCTCTTGCATACTGCTGACGGTGAGTAAATGACTACAAAGTGAACTTTTCCCCCTCTAAATGTGTGGTTTGAAGCTGCATTCCAAGTCCAGTAGGAACTGTCACTGTAGCCAGGCAGGAAGGAGCATGTGTCTTCTAGGACGAGTGTCCGGAAGGAGAGCAGTGAGGATCCCATGCTCAGTGCCGGAGTGGTGCCTGACTTCCCGCAGGTGCTGGGTAAACACTGAGCATGCGTGTGTGTGTGCACATGTGTGGTGGAGGGGCATGGAGAGGGAAGCTGCTTCAGGGAATGAGGCATCCTCAAGGAGCCTTGGTCCTAGGTTCCAAGGGTTTCAATCCTCTTCAACCCTCCAACCCCACCTGGAGCCCAAGGATCTTGAGGGGCAACCTGGATCACACCTGGCCTGATTTTGCAACTGGATGTTTTCATCATCCAAACTACCCCAGTGTTCCTGTATTCAGTCCAAAATGGGGCTCAGTCTGAAATACAAACAGTATTTGGACAGATTTGACCTAGATTAAGTATATATATGTAAATGGCTTCCTAGTTTCATTCATTCATTAAGAACCATTGATTGAGGTCTTAGATGTGCCAGCTATGAAGGGAGGTTAGGCTTTAAGGAGTTCATAACCTAGAAGGGAAGACAGAGGACCAGACAGGCCCTGGCAAAGGTGAGTGCCGTGATGGAGGGGGGTTTGGGAGCCCCAGCAGGAAGGTGTCTGTCAGTGTGGGTGGGGGGTACAGTGGACATAGTCACCTGGATGGGCTGGGTAGAGGGAGGGAAAGAAGATTTATTTGAGGAAGACAGGGAGCTAAACCATAAAAAAACCTTTCAAAATTTTGATTGTACTTAGAAAGACCAATCATGTGAGAAACTTGTAAATACTCCACGTAACAAGATTAATAAACTTTATTTATAAATATATTGTTATTTTAGCACAATTGTATATAAAATTGGAGTTTACTATAAAAATCAAAGTTGTTTCAGAAATGATTTTTAGTTTTAGAACTTAGTGGATGATAAAGGTATTAAGTCCTACCTTTATTTTATTTTTTTATTCTTTTATTTTTTTATTTTCTTTTTTTTTGAGACAGAGTCTTGCTTTGTTGCCCTGGCTAGAGTGAGTGCCATGGCGTCAGCCTAGCTCACAGCAACCTCAAACTCCTGGGCTCAAGCAATCCTTCTGCCTCAGCCTCCTGAGTAGCTGGGACTACAGGCATGCACCACCATGCCCGGCTAATTTTTTCTATATATATATTTTTAGTTGTCCAGATCATTTCTTTCTATTTTTTGGTAGAGACCGGGTCTCGCTCTTGCTCAGGCTGATCTTGAACTCCTGACCTTGAGCTGTCCACCCGCCTCAGCCTCCCAGAGTGCTAGGATTACAGGCATGAGCCACCGCGCCCGGCCCCTACCTTTATTTTAGGAATGTTCTGGGAATCAGTCCTGTTGTGTGTGCACTGGTCAAATCTTCGGCTAGAATTTGATTGAGGTTGAGGGACTCAGTGGAAAGGCTGAATGCTTGGCTGAGATTCATCAGAATCAAGGATCAAGGGCTTGCCTATGGCTGAAACAGAGCCAAACCATAACTATCAAAATTTAAGCAATGCTCGCTTTAAAAAATCCATAATCAAAATTAAAAATAAAATGACAGTAAAGCAGTCATACTTGAATAATGAAAGCATTAGGGTCATGTCATTGTTCATGAATTCTATACCTCCACGAACAATCAGCCTTACTGATCTCTCAGCTGCCTGAACATTTAAGCAAAATTGCATTTCTTGACATGAAAGCACATTACTCACTGAAGTCCTCCAGGAATGAAGAGCAGTTGTCCCCAGAGCCAGGGAAGTCTAGAGTATCCGCTGGGCCATGGTGGAAGGGTCAGGAAGGCATTCACAGGGACTGGAGAGGGTACTGTGGGCTCGTGCCTGGTCCTGTGATCTGGGCTCTGTGCTAAAAAGCTTGGGGCAGATACGATGCTATCTAATCAGACAGACCCTAGACCAACCAATGTCGGACGTGGAGGGATGGGCTCATGGGGTCATGTCATGAGACTGCAGTGACCTATTCAGCCTGTCCTGTCAATACATGTGATTCTCTGAGTTCTTCAGCAGGAAAGGGAATTCAGAAGAACAAAGATGTCCTGGTGATCAAAACAGTAACACAACCTTCCTAAAAGGGAATGGCCTCACAAACATTATGAAGTATTTTCTAACAAAATATTGGAAATTTGCATTGTTTCTCTTTGTTTTTTTCCTGATGTTTTTGGGAGGATGAGGTATTTGTAAAGTCATGTCTTATTTTTCAACACTCAGCTATCTGGGAAGAAGGGCATCAGTCATCAGGTGCAATGAGAAGACCACTGGAACAGGTAGCCTGCCTTGTTGGGCCAACTTCCTTTGCTACTTGGGCCCCAGTTTTGTCACAGTACAAAATAAGGAGATGAGACCGTAACATTTCTTGGGTCTCTTTCAGCCTAATGCTCTGTGACTCCAGGAGGAAAGGGGAAAGGAAGGCTAAAGGCGTGGAAATAAGAGGTGCCAACATAGCTTTGTCCTTTCTAAATCAGAGATGGTCACTTTTCCCCCAGGGCTGCTATATTTCATTATATGTGTTTCTCTTTCGACACTGATGGTTGTATCATGTTTTCTGGAAGCTGGCTTGGTAAGTAGAGTGCTGAATCCTAGGCTGGTTTTACTACCGCCATGGCTGATCTGTGATGTAGCTTTACTCAAGCTATGGGCTTTTCTGTTCCTTTTAAATTTTTTAAAATGCCTTTAATTTTCCCCCCTAATAACTTATTTATTATAGGATAATCAAGGTAAAGTGAGAAAAACTGCTTTCATTCTTTTTTTTTCTGAAGAACACGAGTGATATTATTTATTATAGAAACTTTGAAAAAAGTTTGTCTGTTATCCTTTTTTTTAGTGCTCATATTTTGTTGATTTCTTAGAGGCCTTTGCATGTTAATACTTTGTTATATTTTGTAAATATTTTCCCCCAATTTAGGATTTGCCTTTACATTTTGTTATCGTATCTTTTTATGTACAGAATCTAAGTAACTGCTCATTCAAAGTTATCAATATATTCCTTTATGTTTTTTATCCTCCATGATTTCTCTTTGTTAAAAGAGACCATCGTCATTTTAGGGGAAAATGCTTATACTTTTTTTCAAATTTTATTTTATGGATTCATAATGTTTATGAAATTTAATATTCTTGAAATTTATTTTAGTTTATGGTGTATGGTAGGAATCTTACTGTGTTTCCAAATGGTTATCACTTGACTCAGCTTATTTATAGAGAAATCAATCCCTTCAATTTTATTTTGCAATACCAGAATTTCCCAAGATACTGCATCTAATTCTGAGATTTTGGTCTGTTTCAATGATTTTTGTTCTAGTACATTGTTTTTCCAAGATACATTTTAATAAATATAATTTTGTTATACACACACATATTATTGCATTTTCTTCTTTTTTTAATGAAAATTACTTACTTATTCTCATTTAATTATTGTTCCTTTGGAAAAACTTTGGAATTTTCCAGTCGAGTTATGAAAAATATCTTCCCCTCCACCCCTGAGGATGACCTCGTGAGCCATTTGACAGTGTCTGTGACCTGCTTCGAATTTGCTGGGGAACTGTGCTCGTCCTGATTGCTTGGTTGCCTTGATGAGGCTCTCAGCCTTTAACCAGAGAATTAGCTTTTTACTTAGAAGCAACATTGCTTTAAAGACTGCCTGGAATTATTTGGCATTAATTGTATTTATTGTATCGGTAATAATCCAATAGGTTGTCCTGTAGAGAGGCCACATGGAATAGGTAGAGTTAGGGAGACTTGGGAGTGAATCTCCCTGCCACTTCCTGGTGGGGTGACTTTGGTCAGATTACTTCTGTGAGCTTCAGTTTTCCTTATCAGTAAAGTAGGGTTAAGTGTACCCCCTTGCTGAGTGGGTTTGAAGATCAAATGACAGGAAGTGTAACCCGTCACCTGGCCCCCCTACCCTCCTGGCTGCTCCTCAGTCTCCTCTCCTGGTTCTTCCTTGGCTCTCCCATCTCTGTATCTCGGAGGCCACGGGGCTAAGCCTGTGGATTTCTTTCTTTCTATTCTCACACCCCAGGTGATCCCTCCTGTTCTACAGCTTTAAACTCCATTTAGACCGAAGACTTCCAAACTTGTGTTTCAGCCCAATCCTCTCCCCAAGCCTGCGTACTGCATCTGTAACTGCCCAATCGCCATTGCACTTGGACGTCTGCAGGGCCTCTCACGGTGCGCTCAGACCCTGGTCTGCCTCCCCAGACCCTGTCTCCCGTGGTCCAGGGGTCACCAAACTGTAAAGAGAATGTAAATATTTTCAGTTTTGAGTGCCACATCCGTTTTCTGCCAAATATTCCTTTTTCTTTTTCATTTCGTTTTTACAAACCTCGAAAATATGTAAAAGCCACCCTTAATTCCAGGTTGTACAAAAACAAAAAGCAGGCTGGACCTGACGCACAGGCACAGGTGCCAGCCCTGCTGTACCCCGTCTTGGTAAACAGCAGTTCCTTCTCGTTTGCTCAGGTCAGAAACCTTGGGTCTGTCTTGACTGTCTGGTTCATGCCCCACGCGTGCTCTGTTAACAAAGCCGGGTGTTCTCTCCTCAACATACTGCAGAACCCTGCCATGTCTCAGCACCCTCACAGCGTCCGTTTCATACAAGCCACTGTCATCTCTGGCCTCCATTCTTGCCGTAGCCTAACTGCTCTCTGTGCTCAACATGGCAGCCAGCGATCCTGCAGGAACAAAGGTCAGGTCCCGTCGCGCCTCTATTCGGAGCCCTCCTGCATATCCAGCGTCACTCCGAGTAAAAACCCAGTCCTCCCCCTTGGCTCGTCTGAACTCCCCCATCTCCCTCCTCATCTCCTCTTCCTCTCCCCTGCCCCTCGTCTCTCCAGATATGTCCTTGTTTTTGCTCCTTATACCTGCCAGGTACGTGCTCATCTCAGGGCTTTGGCATCAGCCCTTGCCTCCACCC